CCCTTCTCCATTCTCCTCTCAGGATCTTGGGCATGTATGCACACGTGCCTGGCCTGAGTTTTAAGCCACCAGGCCTAGGACTCGAACCGCGGTCGCCTACATACGTCCAGCAACCTAGCCATTATGCTAACTGCTGGTCCCAAATGATTTAGGCTTTTTTCAATACCTGTAATAGAAGTTCTTTCATTTCCATTTTCTTTCCTTTGCACTGTTAAATAAAAGCATATGAAGTTTAGTCATGTCTTTGAAAAGGCCTTCTATCTTGTCCAGGTTAAAGTTTTGACTTGTAGATTATTAAGTTTCTATTCCATACTTTAAATACTATTAGACTTTTAAACTTATGTTTTAAAATCAGAAGTAAATGCAAGAAAAGGGCCAAACAATATTTTAATATTATTACAAAAGGATTATGTAGGCAAGGGAGGGAGGAGAACAGGAAAAACCATGTTTAATTGACACAAAAATGAAAAAAAATAATTTCTGAGGATAAAGTCTCTTATGATATATATGATAACGTCTTTGTCTTGACTGATATGCATTGTATTCGTGCTGGGAAAAATATGTTGTAAACTGTAAAGATGTATGGTGACTAAATATAAATAGAAAGTATAAAAATAATTATTTAATTTTATTATTTTTTTAAAAAACTTGCTATAGGACATGTGTGCTCACCTGTGAGAGAGAGAGATAGAGAAAGTGAGAAACCAGTAATCGAATCATTGTCGCCCTGTAGGCGTCCAGCACCTTAACCACCACGCCACCTGATGGCCCCACACATTAATGATTTTGTTATAGTGAACAAGTCCTATAGAATTCTTAGATCTAAGATGAAGTCTAAATATGCCATTTACTGCTTAAAATCCCACAGTTGTCTTATTGCTTATTCTTTCTCCCCATATGTCACATGTACCTATCAAAATCATACCCCTCTTTCAAAGACATCTGCTATTGTGAACCTTAATGAAGTCTGTCCTGATGTCAAAAATGTTTCTCCCATCCATTCCTTTTTTTTCCCTCAAGATTATTTTCAAAATACCTGTGTTCATTTACCCAGGGACATACTCTTACCATCTTCAATTCTACTTGTTCCCTCTTTAAGAAAAGAGGAAAAAAAAAAAAAAAAAAAAAAAAAAAAAAAAACAAGAATCTTTAACTTTGTGATTATTATTAATTTGACCAGAGAGAGAGAAAGTGAGGAAGCAAGCCACGGGAATCGAACCATGTTTGGCTATGTGGGAGTCCAGTGCCTTAACCACCACTCCACCTGGCAGCCTCTCTACTTGTTCTCCTAAGAATCTACTTACTCTGGAGGCCAGCAGGTGGGATGATGGTTAAGGCCACTGGACTCCCACATGGCTGACCACAGTTCAGGTCCTGGACCTGGCAGCTTGCTTTCTCACTTTCTCTCTCATTCTGTCCCTCTCTGGTCAAATTAAAATAAATAAATAAAGCTAAATAAAATAATTACTAAAAAAAAGTCTACTTACTCAACTTTTCTTAGGAAGTTTATCCTTTTTTTTGAGAGAGAGAGAGAATGTTTGCTATAGGGTATCTGTACTCACCAGGGAGGCAGACAGAAAGTGAGAACACCCCCGCCCCCCCAGGGATGAACATGCTGCAATCCCTTCTCCTTCAGTTACGTCTTAGGATTTGGGGCACACACACATGAATTTTAAGCCACTGGGTCCAGGACTTGAATAGTAGTTGGCTACATGGGAGTCCAGTGACATAACATTATGCCATGTGCTGGCCCCTATATTGTAAATTTCTTAAAAGGAAGAGATGTTTTACTCATATCTGTACCCTCTGAACCACCCAGTGGAGTGGTCTTTTTATTCAGATTATGTAACTGAAATAATTTTCAGATATTTGCCATAGAAAAGTCTAAAAGGGAGAAGAAAAATCAACCATTCCCATGTATTTTTTAAGTTTTATTCTTGCACTGTGAGATTGGAGGTATAGTAATAATTATCTTCTGAGAATTTTTTTAAAATACAGATTAGCCACTAATTAGCCAGGACCTGAACTTTTTTTCCATGACACTTTTTGTTACTAATTTTAATTTTTTATTTTCATTTAATGATTGTTCATGTTTAGGGGTGCAGTGTGACCTTTCAGAACATGTGTACATTATGTAATGATCACAGCAGGGCAGTAAACATACCCACCATCACAAACATTCATTATTACCTCGTGTTGTGCACGTTTGAAAACCATTGTTCCAGCCATTTTGAAACACACATTGAACTGTCACCATTGTCACCCTACTTTGTTCTGGTACGCTTGGTAGAATTCATTCCACTTATCTGCATGTAATTTTGCATCTGTTAACTGAGCTCTCCCAGTCCCTCCATTGCCTCCAATGTCTTCTCCATTCCGCCTTCTGGTATCTACGAGTACAATCTCTACTTTTGTGCAGTCAGATTTTTTAGCTTCCATCATGAGTAAAAACATAGATGGTTTGTTTTCCAGCACCTGATTTGTTTCACTTAGGATTATTTCCTTGAGCTTCTTCTATGTTGCCTCATACGACAGGATTTTATCCTTCTTATGGCTGAATAGTCCATTGTGTATCTATCACATTTTCTTTGTTCATCAGTTGTCGGACACTTAGGTTGATTCCGTATCATAGCTATTGTGAATAATGCTGGAATAAACATGGGAATATAGGCATCTCTCCAACATAAGGATTTCCTTTATCTTTAATATATACCTAGTTAGTGGGGTTACTGGGTTACAAGATAGTTATATTTTTTGAGAGACCTCTATACTGCGTATAGTGCCCTTTTTTTTTGAGAGAGAGAGATTTTTACTATAGGGCGGGTATGCTCACCTGAGAGACAGACAGAAAGAGAAAGCAAGACATCTCCTCCCCACCCCCCACAATGGGGATAGCCATGCTGTAATCTCTTCTCCATTCTTCTCTTGGGATCTTGGAAATGCACACACATGTGCCTGGTGAGAGTTTTAAGCTGCCAGATCCGAGACTTGAACCACAGTCAACTACATGGGTTACTATTACATCAGCGTGTAACCATTACACCATCTGCTGGTCCCATTCCATTTTAAGTTCATGTTTGAATATGGCAAAGTTAGGGTTCTAGTTTCATTCTTATGTATATGGATATCCAGTTTCCTCAGCATCAATTATTGAAGAAACTGTCCACTCCCAGAAGGTGTTCTTGGGACCTTTGTCCAAATCAGTTGGGTGTAAGTTTGTGGATTTATTCTGTGGTTATTTATTCTGTTCCATTAGTCTGTGTATCTGCTTTTGTTGGCACCGTTTTTTATAGTCCCAGAAATAGAGCTCACATAATTCTGTTTTTCAACTGTTAAGGGAGTAATTTAGGTTCTGATCATATCTCCACTTCCCCTCCCACCCCTGCACACTGGAAAAAAAAGGTAACTCTCATAATTTTGCTTCTTGCTCAAGCCTCATATATGAAAACATGAGCTCATTGTTTGCTTGACTAGACACAGGAAACCTCTGGAGTAGATTCAACCCACCTAGTTGGTGTGTTTTGTGAACCCAGAAAAGGTGAAAAAAATCTTTTTATTTTCTGTGATTATGAAAGCAATATATATTTAATATATATTGGAAATCATATATTTATTATTAAAGTATATATATTTAATATAAAACTGAAAATTTGGAAATTTCAGTTTTTAAATGAAAACAAATCCATAATCATTCACCAAAAGATGATGTCAACAATCACTTACTTTGGGTGGTTGAGTGCTGTGTATCAGAAGCTGGATCTCACATGGCTAATCACATGTCAGATCCCAGTCCTAGTGGCCTGGGAGATAGCCTGCGTGCGTGCATGTGTGCGTGCGCATGCTCCTGGTGGATGGAGATATGGAGGAAAAAGGATTGTGACATGACCACACCCCATCAGGAGGGTGCTTTTTCTGTCTCTCTCGTGTGTGTGCACATGTGTGAGTCCCTTTTTCTGAATGTCTTTTATGTCATTGACATTGTATCAATAGGGGCTGGCAGTAGCAGGGTGGTTAAGGTACTGGATTTCCACATGGCTGACCACGGTTCAAGTCCTGGGCCCGGCCCCTTGCTTTCTCACTTTCTCCGTCTCTCTGGTGAAGTTATAAAATATTGGGGGCTGACAAGTGGTGTGGTGGTAACAGGGCCGAATTCCACATGGTCAGCTTCACAGTTTGAGTTCCAGACCTGGTGGTTTGAGAATCACACCAGGCACATATGTGTGCATGCCAAAATTTCAAGAGGAGACTGGAGGAGAAGGAATTGTGGCATGCACATCTCCTCTGAGGTGTGATTTCTCACTGCTCCTGTCTCATCTCTCTGGCAAGGATACACACTCTATAACAAAAAGCAAACGAAAAAAGTACTGCTTGAAATACATTAATATGGTCACTGCCATGAATTTTCTTTTAGTATTTACCTGTTATATTGCAGTTTATTATTTGATTTTCAGTTTTCCTGTGTCCTTTTGTTTTAGTTGTAACTCTTGTAATTCATAGATAATATTTTTCATTTCTCAGAATCTACTCAATATGTAAATGTACTGATTTGTGCTATCACTATTACAACCTGAGTTTTCAGTTATTTAATGCCAGCTTAATTTCTATCTGCACAACTGATTCTTAACTTTGAATGTATACATATCATAAAGGAAGAACTGTTCATTATCTCAATACCCCAAAATATCCAGTCTTAACATTTTAGTATGTATCTTTTGCTAATACATGGAGTGGGAGAAGGGAGGGAGGTGTAGAGAGGAGGGAATGGAGATCTGATTTCTGTGTTGTATTTCTTTAGTATCATTGTTAATTCATTCGTTTTATAGATTAATACTTTCTTCTTTTGAATAGGAAAAGTAAGTATTTTAGAGAGAACATGAGTCCTGACAAAGGATTCGTTTCTGTTTGATTACCAAGCACAATGCCTGGTATATAAACATTCAGTGATATTTTAATAACAAGTCAAAGAAAGAAACATTTTGAATTTTCTGTTTTCTCCAAAGATTTCCATGGAGAATGATTATCTGGGACCCCGAAGAATTGAGAGTCTACAAAAAGAAGATGCTGATTGGCAGCGAAAAGCTCACATGGCTGTACTGTCTATTCAGGATCTTACTGTCAAATATTTTGAAATAACAGCTAAAGCTCAAAAAGGTAAGTTTCTCAGTATAATTATCTTTGTTAGGTATTTCAAAAATGAAATTTTGGGTTCAGGATAGTTATACACAAAAGTACACAGAGATTAGTTGTCATCCAGGCAGTTAGAGAAGACCACCATTAGCAAATTAAGATATATCCTTTGAGGAGAAGGGATTGCAGTGTGACCATCCCCCACTGGGAGGTGCTATCTCCCTTTCTCTCTGTCTCTAGTGAGCACATGTTCCTTCCAGCAATGTAAATTTAAAAAGAAAAAAAAAATTAATTAATTAAAAATAACATTTAAAAAAGTCACCCTCTTAGTCTTTTCCAGGTGTATATATATGTACTGTACCCTGCCTTTAAATCAGGGAGAGAATAGAGTACAGAAATAGATTCACACAGAGACCAGCAGGTGGCATGGTGGTTAAGGTGCTGGACACTCCCACAGGGGGGACTACAGTTCAAGTCCTGGACCTGGTGGCTTGCTTTCTCACTTTCTTCTCTCTCTTTCTGTGTCTCTCTCTGGTCAAATTAAAATAAATAAATAAATCTTTTTTTTTTTTTTAAAAGAAATAGATTCACACAGATACAGCCATTTAGTCACTGATAAAACAGGTCAGTGGAGAAACAACAAATGATGTTGGAACAGCTGGCCTTCTCTGTGCAGAAAACAAACTTTTCCCCATACCTCTCACACTTTATATGACTATGAATTCAAAATGATCCCAAATCTAAATGTAGAATGTAAAACTATGAAAATTTCGGAAGAAAACATAAGAGAAAAGTCTGTTTTCTAGAGTTACATTAATTTATATTTCCTAGAGTTAGGTGGAGTGATCTTAGTAATGATACTGAAAACAGACTGTCTAAATAACAATGAAAAAACAAACCAGGGAACCAGCAGTTAGTGTAATGGCTATGTCGCTGGACTCCCACGTAGTTGACCGCAGTTCGAGTCCCAGACCCGGTGGCTTAAAACTCAGGCCGGGCGCGTGTGCGTGCGTGCCCAAGGTCCCGAGAGGAGAATGGAGGAGAAGGGATTGTGACGTGACCATCCCCTCTGGGAGGTGATTTCTCGCTTTCTTTCTCTATGTCTCTCTCTGTCTGTCTGGCGAGCGCATGTGCCCTATAGCAAAAACCTCTCCAAAACAAAAGAAAAAGAGAAAACAAACCACAAGGGAAAATTAGATAAATGGATTTCATCAAAGTTAAAAACTTAGATTCACATCTAGAACATTATTTTGTGGATGAATTAAAGACGTTAGAATATAAGTATTTTTGAACTATATTTTAAAGATATTAGATGTCTTTTATCTTGGGGGATAGAATATTTGTATGTTTCTCTTTGAGTGTGTAATCAGTAAAATACAAGATTTTCCAATTATTTAATGTTTTTTTTTTTTTTTACTAATGTCCCTTTAAAAATGTATTATTAATAGCTGTGTACGATCGGATGCGAGCAGATCAGAAGAAATTTGGTAAAGCATCATGGGCAGCAGCTGCCGAACGAATGGAAAAACTCCAGTATGCAGTCTCTAAAGAAACTTTGCAGATGATGAGAGCTAAAGAGATCTGTTTGGAACAGAGGAAACATGCACTGAAAGAAGAGGTACCAGAAAACATACCTAAAAATTAAGATTTGCTGTGTTTATCTTGGTATAAGATTAGCATTTTTCTGATTCCACAGGTAATTGTTAATTTTGGCCGCTGTGAGGTAGCAGTTACGATAGGGCTGCAAACTCGAATTGTCGCTAATGAAAGAGTTAGACACACACATAATATTTCACAGCATCCTGGTGTAATGGTACACCACAGTACACCCTTAAAACAAAAAAGAGGCTGCTATCAGAACCTATTTATTATCTTCAAAATTTTTTTGCTGTAAAGTTTAAAGCTTTATAGTGATTAAGAAGCCCAGGAAAATGCAGTAAAAACCTAAGACGGTGGTATTTTATTCGAATCAATTATGTCATGTTCAAATTATCACCTTTTAGAACTTCTCATTTTATTCCTACTGGAACAAAACAGGGTTAATAGAGATTTGAAGTTGAGTGCCTTGACCTATGACCTATTGGCCCTACTTTATCCATTTAAAAAATAAAAGTTATTTCTTTTTTTTTTTTTAATTTGCTATAGGGCATGTGTGCTCAAAAGACAGAGAGAGAGAGAGAGGGAGGGAAAGTGAGAAAGCAAGCTGCCTGGTCTGAGACTCAAACTACAGTTGGCCATGTGGGAGTCCATCACCTAAACGACCATGCCAGCTGCTGACCCTGAGGTTTGATTTTTCTTAACTGCGCCTCATTAAGACCTCTGCATGGGTATCAAAAGAAAAAAACAAGAGAAAGGGAGAAAATTTAATGAGATGGGATTGTAATGTTTTGTGCCTAAGGGAGATTATTTAAATTAGGAATAGTGTTAGAAATCCTCAGAGTTGCCTACCTGTGTATTTAGAACATAGCCCAATATTCTCTCTTAAATTATTAACTGTTTTCCTGTTGTCATCTTGATTATCCTTTTAGATTTTCTCGTAGTACCCCAAATAGCACTGAATATACCTTTGGTACCTAGGTCATGCTTGAAAATACTGCAGCTGTTGGATGGGCACCATTTTTCTTTACCTTCTATACTATTATTTTTTAAATGCTATTAATATTTCATTATGGTCAAACTAGTTAAAAGGTACTTTCATTTACAAAATGAAAAGGTACTTTTAAATGTTTCCATTGACCATCGACTGATACTTTTTGTAAATATTAAAGAAGTAAATGTTAAAGGTTAGAACAGTGTTATTGAAAGTATATAGTTTAGTAGTGAGTGACAATTAAAGTTAGTATGAGAAATGAACTTTAAAAGGGTGTTCTGAGGGCCAGCAAGTGCCATGGTGGTTAAGGCCCTCGGCTCCCATAGGGCTGACTGCAGTTTGTGTCTCGGACCAGGTAGCTTGGTTTTTCACTTTCTCTCTCTCTCAGGTGAGTGCACAAGCTCCGTAGCAGTCTAAAAAATGATGGTGATAAATATATATTTTTTTGGAGAGATTTTTGCTATAGGGTGCGTGCGCTCTCCAGAAAGACAGACAGAAAGCGAGAAGTCACCCCCCCCAGGGGAGGATGGCCACGCCTCAATCCCTTCTCCATTCTCCTCTCAGGATCTCGGGAACGCACACCCACCCACCCAGCGTGAGTTTAAGCCGCCAGTCCAGGACTTGGAACTGCGATTGGCTACGTGGGAGTTCAGCGGCATAGCCATTACACTAACTGCTGGTCCCTATAAATAATTTTTTTTTTAAAAGGGCGTTCTGGGGGTCTGACCCTGTGGCCTCATGGTTAAGAGAACTGGATCCTACATTGCTACTGTAGTTCAAGTTTTAGTCATGGTGCCTTGAAAACACAGGCCAGACACATGTGCATCCATGATCCAAATTCCGACATGATGAGGAAATGGAGAAGAAGCTGCTACGTGATTATGCCCGTTGGCAAGTATTTTCTCCCTCTCTGTCTTGCTCTGGTGAGAACATATGCTCTCTGGCAATTGAAAAAAAGGGAGGATGTTCTGGGTGGCATATGGTAAGACTTAATTGTTTTAGATATTACTATTTAGTACATGTTTTCTGTACCCAGAATTAAAGCTCAGTATTTCAAAACATAAAGTGTTTGAATTACTAAAATTTGGGACGTTTCCTCTTGTTTTCATACATCCATTTTCTACTTGAGATAGCTTATTATAGCATATGCTATTGTTTTAAGCCATTTTAAAAAGTGAAATCACTTTCTTTGACCAATAAACCAAATATAGAATTTTTTTTACAATTGAACTATTTTATTTCTTTATTATAGGTCTTTCCTTTTTTTTTTTTCTTTTCTTTTTTTGGAGAGGTTTTTGCTATAGGGCACGTGCGCTCACCAGAAAGACAGAGAGAGACAGAAAGTAAGAAATCACCCCCCCAGGGTGGATGGCCACACCGTAATCCCTTCTCCTCCTTTCTCCTCTCAGAATCTTGGGCATGCACGCACATGCACCCGGTATGAGTTTAAGCCACGGAGTCCAGGACTCAACCGTGGTCAAATACATGGGAGTCCAGCGACATAGCTATTACGGTAACTGCTGGTCCTTCAAGGTCTTCTTTCAAATTTTCCTTTTCTGTTGAGGGCCCATAGTTCTTTAAGATACTCTACTTCAGTCCTAAAACTTTAGACTGACTTCTGCCAGGAATTTCAGTGACAGAGATAAATAGATGATTAAAACATCTTCTACCCTGACCCCTCCCCACCCCAACACAAACACACTTTTTAAAAATCATAAGTACTGGGGCTGGTAGGTGGCATGGTGGTTGAAGGCAGTGGATTCCCACATGGCCAACCATGGTTCGAGTCCCTGACCTGTCAGCTTGCTTTCTCCTTTCCTTTTTTCTCTGGTCAAATTAAAAATAAATAAAGTTAAATAAAATAATTATTTTTAAAAATGATAAATATTAAGATCCAGTCATTGTGTTTAGTATTTTTAGAGTAGGGGCAAGACAAGTGGAATATGAAAATATACTGTGAAATAGGCAGGTATTCAACACATACAAAGCAGACCATTGGAGAAGTATCTAGCTTCTACCAGAATATGACAAGTAAAGAGAATTGCATATTTCTGTCCCAGAGAGGGCAGGAAGAGTTTGGTTGCTAATCCAAAGAAGGAATAATGAGAGATGAGGTTGGAAAAGTAAGTTAAGTTTGGATTTAGCCTTCTGTGCCCTGCCAAGAAGTTCAAATGTTACCTTAAAAACAGCATGGAGTCATAAGATTTCAATCAAGGAGTAATGTCATCAAATTGTTTTTATGTAAACTAATGCTCTGGCTCATTTATAGAGAGTGGATTGGCAGATCATTCTTAATTCCTTGCCCCATTTTGTTATATGAGAAAAGTTCTCTCAAACTGTGTCATTGCTAATGGTAGAAATCCAGGTATTTCTGGGATCAGCAAATGGCGTAATGACTGCATTACTGGCTGGCCACATGGCCAACCATGGTTCAAGTCCTAGACTTGGAGGCTTGAAACTCACTCCAGGCATGTGTGTGTTGTACATGTGCCTGCCCAAGATCCCAAGAGGAGAATGGAGGAGAGGGGATTGTGGTGTGACCATCCCCCCGGGGGGTTATTTCTCATTTTCTGCCTCTCTGGCAAGTGCACACACCTTATAGCAAAAATCTCCCCCCCCAAAAAAAAGTATGCTTATCTACTTTTATTTGAAAAATAGTACACGAGATAACCTATAAGGTATCATACCTATGATCTAGAAAGAAATCTTTGCTAGTACATATTAAATCATGAGTTTTATTTTCCCTTTATATTTTATTTGCTACCATTATAAGACAGAATTGAAACTTGGCTTACTCTGGAAAAATTTGTCAGCATCTTTTTGCAAGGAAATCGGCCCCTTCTCATATTTCCATGAGGCATTTCTATTGCAGTCTCCTTTTCTAAGTTAATATGCTCCTCCATATTACCAGCTGTTTAGAATCTTAAATTCTTGAACTTTAAAATTTAAAAATTAAATTCCTACCCTTTTATTGCCTGTGAAGTAGAGTACCCATTTTGTCTTCATCACGTTGACTAGCTTCATTGATCCAATTTAGCCAACATTGAGTTCTAGTAATAACTGGGTGCCTCGAGCTACTGAGGATAAGATTTCTTTTTTTTAAATTAATTTATTTAACTTTTATTGTTATTATTTTCTAGTTTGATCAGACAAACAGAAAGAGAGAGGTAAACTGAGAAAGCAAGCCACCAGGTTCAGGACTTGAACTGCCAGCCATGTGGGAGTCCACCGCCTTTAACTACCACACCACCTGCTGACCCCGAGAATAAGATTTCTTACTATGCACTCTTGCTAGAACATTGCTTTTACTGAATTGGTCTAGGGTGTTGAGGAAAGATGAAGCTGAAATGATGGGCCTTGAAAGTTTGAGATTATCTGTGGGGTCATTTTCCTTGGGGCCATTCCATTGCTGTAATAGTCTGTTTTCAAAGTTCTGGACATGTTTGAATTCTTCAAAGGATCTGTTAAAACTGCTGATTAGGCATTCTTGCCAGGTTTATGCTTGTTGCGTACATAATATACGCATTGTGCTTTTTATGTACGTCTGTGATGATGTACTTCAGCAGTTTTATTAGTATTAATTTAAGATGCCCATCCCAAACAAGTGCTTTGCCAGCGATATAGTGCTACCCTGTGATTTAAATTATGGGAGACATTTGTTCTTTAAACAATATCCGTATATTTTGCCCCCTGAAGTTATTTTCAAAACAAAAAGTTCTTCCTCATGTAACAAGATAAAAACACTTTAAAAATTAAAACTAGGAATTAAGTTTAAACTATTTAGGATTATTTGCATGAGCATAATACTGACCTTGAAATCTATTTATTAAGTTACTGCTAAAATATTAAAAATTACATAAGCAAAATTTTATGTACTTAAATTTTTTTAAACTATATGTAAAGAAGTACTCTTCATTTATACCCTTTTAACTGTTTCTGAGTCTTGATTGTAGTTATTTTTACCCTTTTTAGCTTATATATTCCTGCCCCTTGAAGAATTTGAGTTTTTCTCTTTTTAAAAAAGTTTA